CTCGTCCGGCAGGCCGTTCCAGAGCTTAGGGGCAATAACAGAGAACGCTCCCCGGGAGGTAGGCAAACCTTCTCTGAACAAATCTTGACAAGAAAACTTCATGATAGGTCCACCTTAGAGTCGCCATAAGTTGGAAATGACTTGAGGATGCACATCAACAACAACAACATAATAGAATAGAATGTAAATGAATATTGTGTGCATGTGTGTTCTCTCTCTCTTTATTTATTTGATTTCTATCCCACTTTCTCCCCAAAAGGGACCCAAGGTGGCTCACAGATAAAAATTCTAAACATATTACAATAAAACAATTAAAAATATCATCTAAAAGCAATATAAAATTACAGACATTAAAACCACACTAAAACCATGATACCCACCTTATATAACAAACACCCAAGCCACTCCATGATTATACATCAAAAGCCTGTCTGAATAAAGGCATTTTTGCTTGCTGACAAAAGGCAAGCAAGGAGGGGGCCAGCCTTGTTTCTCGTGGAAGGACGTTCCAGAGGGCAGGAGCAGCCACCGAGATGCTGCGAAAGTGGCAGGACCAAGAGAAAGCCTTCCCTGGAAGATCTTAGGGCTCTAGCAGGTTCGTATGGGGAGATACAGGGCCTCTACAGATGGGCGGCTGTGGGCTGAGGATTGGGTCTGAAGCTGCCCCATGCCTCGGCCCCAATCCACCCTTTGGGAGGCTTTGGAAGGATTGCTAAAATAGCTCTCCTACCAGAGTGGGCAGAAGGGGTGGCTGAAGAGATGCCACATGTCTCTTCTGCGTCCCTTCTGGCCCAGTGTGTCTGGATGCTGAGCCGGAAGGATGTCATCGGAGCGCTCGCCATGTGCAACAGCGGACGCTCCGATGATGCCCTCAGGAAGGGGTTGGGTTGTCCGGCATTCGGCTGCCCCTCCCCTTCCCTGGCTCCAAGACAGTGCTTTGCGCCATCTGCAGAGCCCCACAGTCTCTCAAACAATCTGGACCTAAGCCATTTAAGACTATATAAGTCATAACCAGCACTTTGAATTGTGCCCAGAAATGAACTGGTAGCCAGTGAAGCTGTTTCAACAAAGGAATTATATGGTCCCTAGAACTGACCCCAGTCACCATATATATTGTGTGTATATATGTGTGTGTGTAATTTTGTCATTTATTGTTGGACCCTTTTTTGTGGAATTTGGCTCAGCTGCAGCATTTGCAGTTTTGCACCATACGTAATGGAAAATTTCTGTGGTGCCCCCTTCCCTTGATGCCCCAAGCACATGATTATTTTGCTTAATGGTTAATGCAGTCCTGAAAAGTGAGCCTTTTTTGTGGATTTTGTCATTTTGTCACTCTTACACTTTGGTTTGTCATTCTCATAGTGTGCCTACTTTTATTTACCCAATAGCTTATATGCAAAAGCATTTTGAAATGTCTAGTTTTCTGTAAGCTAGTGCTGACACCACAAAAAACCAACCAAACAACAAAAAATACAACCTCTAAAATTGTCAATTGCAAATTCTATCTAACCAGAATTGGAGATCAAAGCTACTCCAGAGACTTTGGAGACAGATATCCAGCAGTTCTTAAATACAAAGAATTCCATCCTAGAAGCAGCTGAAATAAAATCAAGTCAAATGGGGTTTCAGTCAGCTGTGTTCATGGTTCTGCATAATTGACAAATCAAATCAAAAATCCTGCAGGCCGATGCACCAATCAAGGGACACACATTTATAGTTCAATAAATAATGGATTTGCAGAACAACTGAAAAGTTTTCTGTCTTATTTTCCTTTCTGCAAGAATGCACACATCTCTATAGCAGCAGCACCTTTGTTAACATTGCCTTCTCTTTTCCCCAGTCTACCTCAGTGAACCATATCTCAACATTATCCTTAAAAATTCTGCAAAACATATAAACTATAAAGCAGCAGCCACCAAATGATGATAACTCAGTTTATTCATAACTATCCCAGAGGCTGCAGGTTCCATGCCAACAGTTATTAAAATCAAATTGCTCATTAAATAAATAAATAAAATAATTAATAAATGAAATTCACAAGCTATTTTTCATACTACCCCTCCTCCCAAGCTCTTGCGATTCATAATGGTGACTGCATTCATAGGTATATTCTTTGCAAATCAGATAAATTCATCTCCAGCTCCTCTTTCTAGGGTTGCCAGGTCAAGACTATCCTAGGTCCTGAGATTTCAGATCCAAATCTTGAGATCGAATGATGACCCCTTGCGATGTCACAGGTGTCATAAAGCATGATACATTAAGCACACACCACAGTGGCACAGACTATGCCATTCAAATAATAATTTAAAAAAACTTCTAACAAATGAGAAAAATGCACCCATATACACACTTTTCAAGGCAGCATTCTTGAGATCTGTGTGCTTAAGGGCAGTTATGAAGTGAATCAATTGAGTCTGGGTCATATATTCAAGAGAATTTACTAAGGTTGAAAGGATGTGCAGTAGCAAAGTCTCAGACATTTCAGAATTCATCATGAGAAACCAGCAGTCGATAAAAGCCACAAGGGAAAGACAAGGAGACGTATAACATAAACCAGTCCAGAAGTCGAGAATTCAAATAAATCTATGATCAGGAAGCACATGAAAACCAGGGAAAGCCAACAGTTGTAAAAAAAAAAAACAAAAGCTCCCAGTAGCTCCTGTGGGATGTATATTCTGACCTGGAGACACCAGATGCTTGGTTGTTCAGCTTTTCTTATCTGAGAAGAATTGGCTCCACTCCTGCTGTTCTATGTCATGATGACATTCTACAAGTGATGGGATTTTCTTCTCAACATCCCTAAACTCCATCTGAGGTGAGGACCCATTCTGCTGAAGCTCTTCATTGGCTGCATTGGCCATTAGCTAGTGAGATTTGGGGAAGAAAAGCCATCATTTGGAACCAGGGAATCTTTTATGTCTAACTCCTCTTCATCTAATTCCTTGGACTCTGCTGGTGAGATATGACAATCCCTCTTCCATACTTTATGAAGAGGGGCCAGGAAGCTTATCTCTTTCATTTGGAAATTCTCCAGTGCCTTTAACACCACCAATAAGTGAGGATGAAAGATGGTGATAAACAGTTTCCACAAGGGATGGGAGTAAAGTTGACATCAATCTGCTATAAGGGTAGGGAGCACAATCAAATAGTTTTCCATTTGCCAAATTGTGACATCTGTGATCTGGAACTGTTTAAAAGAATTGGGTAAAAATAAAACTGGGACTGAGTTGTTTTTGCTTGCTGAAAGTTGCCATTATGGAAACTGGAATTCTCCCCTGGTTCACATGCAGAAAAAGATTGATTATATGCCAGGTAAAGCTAAGTGTCAGTGTGGTGTAGTGATTTGAACATTCGACAATTACTCTGAAGAACAGGGTTTGAATCCCTGCTCAGCCATGGAAACTCACTTGGTGTCCTTGGGCAAGTGACAGTCTCTCAGCCTCAGAGGAAACCCCCTCTTAACAAATCTTGCCAAGAAAATCCTGTGATAGGTTTTCTTTAGGGTATCCATAGCTCAGAAACAAGTTGAAGGCACACAACAACAAGGGCTGAAAATGATCACATCTGAAATATTTGTTTCCTTTAGAGTAATAATAATAATAATAATAATAAAATTTATTTGTATCCCGCTTATTGACAAACAATCCAAACGGCTTACAATAAAACCCGTATAACATATTCCAAAAAGAAAAACCACCCCACCCCTTAAAACAGTATTAAACGATACATAGTTAAAATAGCAATAAGCATAAAATTAAAACATAACAATATAAGACATTTTACATTTAACATTTAAAACAGGTTGCGGTGCCCTAATCAACCTCTACTGCGTTCCTCATCCATCAACAACTGATGGGGCCACGAGAGCAACGCAGGAGTCAAGGAACCCAAGGTCGGGGTGATTAGTTTGGAAAAGCCTGCCGAAAGAGATCCGTCTTGACAGCTTTTTAAAAACTGTCTAGTGATGTCAACTGACGGATCTCGTCCAGCAGGCCGTTCCAGAGTTTGGGGGTGACAACAGAAAAAGCCCTCTGGGAGGTCGCCGCAAACCTAGATTTTTGAGGCTGCAGCAAATTCCTCCCAGAGGACCGGAGAGCGTGGGGAGGATTGTACCAGGGTTAGGCAACTAAAGGTCAATGTTCTGCCTCTGGGACCCCAGGTCATACTGAGTCCTAAAAATGGCTCCTCCCTCCAAAAGTGGCCAAAGCTCCACTTCTGGTTTTGTAAACAGTTTTTAAAAATCTTCAGCAGTGTAAGAATGCCTGGAACTTATTTAAAAGAGAAATGGCCACTCCTACATGCTTCATGGAGAAGCAATATGGCCTCTAGTTTGTGCTGGGCTCATTTTTTGGCCAGAAAAGGGGCATTTCAAAGAATCTGGATGGACCAAGGGTTGCATAAACAGCCTTACAAGCTCCATTTAACCTGTAGGACCTATTTTTCCAACCCTTGCCTTAGCCAAGCCAGGGAAGCATAAGAACTCTGTCATGCTGTGCCACTGTCATATACTGGCAGACTTCAGTTCCAAAATACAACTTCAGTAAGTTCCAAAAACTTTATTTAGGAAACAAAAGTTGTTCACAGTATAACCATGTTGATAGGACTGAAGCACGTTTGGTCACAGAGTATATTAAGAACACTTAGCAATGAAACATTTTTGTGAGCTTGCATGCCATTCTCCTTTGAATCAAAACAATTCTGTTCCCAGAATCGCCCTTCCTTCTCCCTTTGTACCAAGCATTCCCATCAACTTGACCTTGACAGTTCAAAGGACATTTTTCTTCAGTCACATCTGCTCATTATCCAGCTATCACTCCTTCTGCCCAGCATCACCATTTGCATAATACAGCCCACCATCCGGTAATACAAAGCATCTACATAATATATAGACATCAAGCATGGCAGGACCTATAATCCTGACAGCCACAAGCAGCTTGCAGCAGGAGCAATTTAATAAACCATGACTCTTTGTGTCATGGTTTCATTACCTTGTCATCCAGACAGAAGTATTTCATTCCTTTGGCTTTCTTCTGTGCAAACCAGAAGAACTAATCTAAAACAAACCATGAATTCCTTCCCTGGTTGTTCAGGAAAGAAACAAGGCACAGAAACAAAAGTGTTCTTGCTTAGATAACATTATAAACATTTATTTAGTCACTGCTTTAAAAAGTGGGAGTGAGAGGACAATATGGACCAGCACACTTCCCGTAAACAATCAGCCATTTTTCCTGCAGATCCCTGGTTTCTGATGTCATTCAAACTGGTCCACTGTGTCAGAGGTTTTTGTAAATAAGAGACAAGTATTATTCATGCACCACTGAGCCTTCATTGTGCTAGAGAGCTCCAAATATAAGAACAAAGGCCAACTGTTCCTTCTGACAAGGAATCAATATTACCATCATATTGGATCAATTTTTTTCCTGGTTAGTTGGTAAGTTACAGATAGAGTGGCTCTCACACTGTTTTTGCATTGATAAAAAAGAAAAACATCTTCAAGTAGGGAGAGTTTACTGAGTTGCTGAATAGCAGTAGCAAGTACCATACATTTCTATAAAGCAAAAGCAAAGCAGCTTCATTTATATACCACTTCCTACCATGCTATGCAGTGTCTAAGCGGTTTACAACTGTAAGCCCATTGCCCTCCAACAGTTGGGTACTCATTTTAGCGACCTCGGAAGGATGCAGGCCTGAGTCAAGCCTGAGCCCTGGCTAGTACTGAATTCGCAACCTTGTGGTTTATGAGTGAGTGGCTGCAGTACAGGCATTTAACCACTGTGCCACCAGGGCTCCTATATTACTTATCATTGCACTTAAGCACTCCCTAAATGGTTAACAATGTGTAAGCCAATTGCCCTCAACAAGCTAGGTACTCATTTTAGCAACCTACAAAAGGATGCGGGGCTGAGTCATCTCTGAGCCCCTGGCTGGTATTGAACTCACAACCTTGTGGTTTGTAAGTGGCTGCAATTCAGGTATTTAACCACTGTGCCACCAGGGCTTCTATAGATACAACCAGGTTGTGATGAGTCTGCTCATCATGTAGCAGTGTATGCCCATCACATCAGGATGCACATCAAGCTATTCTATAAGTTTTAGTAAATAATAGTCAGGACTAGATGTCAGTGCACTGGCATGATTACCAGTGGCAGCTTTTAAGCTGTTAGTGACTTGTCTGTCAGGGACACTGAAAACCAAGCAAGGTATTTGCTGGATGTGTTACATGCAACCATCTCTCTTGTTTCTTCTGAGAAAATTAGACCCACCAAGGAGGCTTGCTACAAGAATATAACGTGTGTGGAGAAATGTGTTTATCTTCCTTTCTCACTGTGACTGGACCACTGTGCCACCTTCTCTGTGTGACTAGCATGCCTAGGAAAATGTTCTGTTGGTGCCAAGGGGAACCTTTTCCCCAAAGCATTCTAGCTGTGCTGGGTATGTATATTTTGTTTCTGATTCCACTTCCATTCCTTTCCCATCCTATTCCCAGTCCTCTTCCTGCTATGAATTATCATCACTCTTATAGCACTGTGTGGTATATAGCTAATGAGTGTTAGATTTGCTCCTAAGAGGGTGAATTATATAAAAATTTAAAAGTAAAATACTGTAGAAAGTGCTTTAGTTTCTCATTCCTGTATGACAGGGGGCTGCACTAGATGATTCCTGTTGTCTCCTTATGATTCGATAGCTGAGCATATAGGTGCACAAGAGCACAATTCTGAACCTTCAAAGATAACACTGTATATTTGAAAAGAAAAGGGCTGCAAAACAATGTCATACATTTTCTGTTTAAATACCAATTTTCCATATCATGCTGCCCCCTTCATCATGTGATTCCCTTCACCGTATTTCTAATAGAAAGACAGATAATATATAGAACCTATAAAACTTTGTAAGTGAAGCATGGAAACCCTTTTGATTTTGAACATGGGTTCCATTTGTCAGTGGCAGTTATCAGAGATGGCCTGTAGCAAGCTTGTTTCACTTCAGCTGGATTCATTACTAGGCCAGCTAAGACAATTGAACAAGCTCATTTGTATCATTGAAAGGTATATTTCTGGTTAAAGGAAACTTTCTAGCAATAGTGGAAGCTGTATGAGGGGATGCTGAAAAGTTCTTGGCCTGACCCATTTTCCAAAATCTGTGTGTAAATTTGTCACTGTAGCTTGAAAGAGTGTCCTTGAGTTTCTTATTTATAAGCAGTTGAGTATGCAGAAGCTGTCAGCCAAGTGGGTGCCAAAATATTTGAATGCTG